ACAGAAACGTTCAAATGGTCCCAGAAATCTTAACATAGAAACCTTTTATCGCTATCAGTTTAATAGGGCTGCAACAATACAGAAAATGCACGGTTCGGTTTGATACTTTAGTCTCACGGTTCTATATTTTTTCGATACAAAAAAGAGAAATGTCCATGCCCCTTTTAACTTGTAATTTATTTAAATTAGTTATGAACATTTATTTAACCTCAAAAGTACAGTTTTTAAATTAAATGTTGCTGAAACAGCAAGTTTCTCAGTGGATCTGCGCTCAAAATACAGCCTAGGTGTAGTAGTCGAACACAGATCCACTGATCCTTCAACACAGAGCATCTTCAGAAGACAAGCTGATAAAATAAATGTTAAAAATCTGTATTGTTCCATACAAGTGTGTATTGAACCTAAAGCACCATTCAATACGGTTTGATACGGGTACATGTATTGTTGCACCCCTAATACTTAAGTATCAAAAGTAAATTTCTGACACAAAATCTACTTTATTAAAAGTAAAAGTACTGAGTAAAAGTGAGCAGTTAAATTTTCCAAAATCACAATTATTGGGAGGTGACTTCTCCAAAAAATATATTTTCTAATGGCGTGCAGCTGTGATGGGTTGTGTACAAGCTAATAGGGTGTCAGAATGGTAAATATTTATACTTCTCATCCAACCACAATTAAATTCACTCTATCCAGGAGACAATTTATCATGATAGTATTTATTTTAAGTAATAACTCAGAATAAAATAGGAGTAACGATTTTCTACTTCTTAACTTTTTAAAAAATGTAGTGAGTAGAAAGTACAGATAACTGTGTCAAAATGTAATGCGTAAAAGTAAAAAGTACACTGAAAAAAATACTCAAGTAAAGTACAGATAACCAATTTTTTTACTTTACAGTAACAAAGTGTTTGTACTTAGTTACATTACAACTCTGCAGTCCTCTGAGTTCTATCTTTTTGCTTTTATATTCTCTTTCATCACTTCCCTGTCTTCATCTCATAACCTCTTTTCATTATTATTCCATCTGATCTCATTTCTTTTTAGCTTTTCATTTGCCTCTCCCCCCGTTTCATCTCGTCCCTGCGCTCACCTGCGGAGCGTCTGCGACGTGGAGCTCCTGCTGGTACTCATCATGGCTTTGTAGTACTGGTGCTGCTGGTTCTTGGACAGCTGGGACAGGGTGTTGCCCTCCCCGAACGCCAGCAGCTGGTCCTGGGAGCGGACGCGGCGCGGCGGCCTGTCGAAGGTGGAGCTGGGGTACGGCGTCTGGGAGGGCAGCGGGTAAGGGTTCGGGGTGGAGGGGATGTGGAGGTGCGGCCGTGAGCCGTGGAGCGGCAGAGTCCCCCTGGACCCCAGCGTGTAATCCCCCCCGTAGGGCAGGTGGTGCTGGGAGGAGTGGAACGAGGGCGGGGCGTTGTTGGAGCGACGTTTATTTGAGTAATAGCCGGAGTACTCGTCGAGTTCTTTCTCTGATTTGTTTCAAACAGAAAGACAAAGCAGATTAAATGCAGAGGTCTATAAAGTACTTGAAAAAAATAGCTAAGTAAAAGTAAAAATACCTTAACAGAAAATGAATTTGGTAAAAATGTCACTGATGAGAAAACTACTTAAGTAAAAGTCATAAAACTGTTTACMGAAATTGGGAAAGTAGAAGTAAAAGTACTTTTCCACGCTCTCTAATAAATAAACTGTTAAATTTACAGAACCAAACTGGCTCCACAAAAAACAATTTGATTAAATTGGCCAATTTCTTTAAAATAAAATATGTATATCGTCTCAAATTTACCCTACTAGGCTTAGTTGATATGATTTAGTTGAGTAAATTCAACACTTATTTTTATAGCACATAAACATCTTTCATGAAGAGTTCAGACAGATTTCATTTGTAACAAGTAACTAGGTGTTAAACTTTAAAGTAAAGATGTAAAAGGATCATTTTTTAGGTTTTAAAAGTAAGTAAAAGTAAAAGTCACGATTTAAAAAAAATACTAGGTAAAAGTACAAATCCTCAAAAAAATTACTTAAGTACTGTAACAAAGTAAATGTACTTAGTTACCATACACCTCTTGTTAAATGTAAATGGGGAGAATTTTATTCGAAAAGATCTTCCAGCCTTTAAATATGCATTTTTAAGCTCTAAAATATTTCCCACACGTACAAAAGGAGTAAAATATTTGACATTTTATAACCTCAATAAAATATTTTAAACATGCTGGTTAAAAGAAACACTTCAGCTTTTTATCTAGAAGGGCATGCATCAAGTGAAATAAATAAAAATGTAAAAGAGGCTGGAGGAATAAAAAKGTAAAAATGCTGAGTGAGAAAAGCACAAGTAATAAAAGAAATAAATGAAAGGCTGGAGTTGCTAAAAATACAAAAGAAAAGGTGAATTGCAAATGATGATAAATCAAGCTGAGGGGGAAAAGGAGAAGTCAAGGATGAATCATGAAAAAAAAGAGAGCTGTATAATGCATGAGGAATACCACATTAAAAAGGAAGGAATATAAAATAAGGCAACATAAGAAAACAGGGAAACAAAGTGAAAGGGGAAGAACGTGATGATGAGGAAGATGAAAAATATGATTCATTAATAGTAAAACAGTATTTCTGCTCCATAGCCTGAAACCACTTTAATCTTCAAAGCATTTCCATGGAAGCGGCTCCCCAAGAGCCAATTTGAACGTGACCTTTACCCAGTCACCGTACAACCTCTTCCTCCCCTCGTCTTTTCCTTTCCTCTCTTTTTGTTTGCTCTTTTTGTCTCCATTCTCCTCCATCCTCTCTTCATTTCCCCCTTTTTTTCCACCGGACCTGAAGCTTTTCTTCCTGCTTCATTTCCCCCCTTGTTTTCTCTCTTCTTCTCTCGCCGTGCGTCTCATATCCTCCCTCACCCTCGCACTGTTTGCTCGCCTCCAGTGAGGCCAAATCAGCTGGAGGTTTCTGCCTGCCCGCTGGCTGCAGACAAAGACGCCATTATCAGTGGCGTTTCTGAAGGGAAGCACATCAAAAGCAGCGGCTTTCATACAGTCGCTGTTGTGAGAGCATTTCTCTCTCTCTCTCTGGGTGCTAACAATATTTTACATTCATACTGAAGGGGTGCTCCACCAAAGTTGGTGTGAAAATAAACATTTTTTAAAGCGGTACTTCAACTTGGTGTGACAATAAGTAGGTTTGTTTGGAACAAGAGGAAATGACAAATTTTTATTTGCATTCTAACACATCTGCAGTGTCATCACATCTAATTGTGAGGGGTTTAAAGGGGGATAAAGTGCATCGTGTGGAGGATTTCATTTTTAATCATTCCCATAGATGARTAAACTTCTGTAATTGGCAACACATCTCAAAACACAAAGAGCAAAGGCAATGAAAAGGCTGTAAAAGTAATCGATATGTGAAAAAAACAGCTGGAGGAGCATTTTGCAACATATTAGGTTAATTGGCAATAAGTCTAGAAGCATTTGTTAAACTAATCAATAAAAATGATAGGCTTCGACTACTAATGAATGGAAGCAGCTTCTGTTCTATAGAGGACCAAAACGGACATAATTAGAAATAAAAGCAGAAATTTGTACAAAATGAAGGCACATAAGTGTTTTCCTCCTTGCCTTTGTTTTAAACTAAACTTTAAGCTAAACTGAGGCAGCATAAGCATGCACAGTAGATCCGCACATGGACCCTGCTCCTTCCTGTCTGTTGACCAATAGGAGGAGTTTGACCCAAGAAGTTCCGCCCACATTATTTGCATAATGAAGCAGAAATGCATAAGATAAAGTAAAAACAGGAGACAGAGAAATGTAGACCTAACACATGGAAAGAAAGAGACTTGTGAAAAAAATATTAAAAAAATAATTAAATATAAACATTTACGAGACAGATGCATGTACAAGGAAAATGATAAACAAAAAAAGTATTTTTAAAAAGTAAAATTGAATGTGCTAAAGTTTATAATGTATTGGCTCTGAACTGAAGTTTATGATGTATTGGAACTAAACTGGAAAAATACATTTGAAGGTCAATTAAATAATAAACCATGAGATAATTTAATTGGTGCATTTATATATTTCTGGTTTTATTTCTAGTTATGTCAGTTTCAGTCCTCCATATTTCTAAATATATTTCAGACAGAAAAGACTTGTCATCGTTCAACTTACTGAACWTTTTTTTTCTTAATATAGTCATATTATTAAACCAACTTCAGATTAAAAGTAATCTTCTTAACTAGTAATTTGCATATTCTCTGTAGTTCTTTAAAGGAGGTGTAAAAATCTTATAAAATCTCACTAAACGAAAAAGTTTTTTGGTTTCAGTCAAATTTTCTTTTGTTCTTTTACAAAACTCAAAAATTCTCTGTGAGCGAATCTGCTCTCCTTCACCTGAAAACATGGCTCTCTGGGCTCAGTTTCACCGCTACTTGTGCAAATGTCCTGCTCTCCAGTTTGACCTTCTCCTGTGCTCACAAAATTTCTGTTCTCAAATTTCTCCCTCTCAGAAAAAAAAAAAAAACCTCAGCCAAAACGTGGTGAGTGTTTCAGCGATATTACTGCCTCTGTGTGGGTGCAACAGCTTTACTTCACAGGGTCTCTTCAGGACAATCACTGGCTAACAGGCTTCAGCTTGCCAACATGAATCACCTAAAACCACATACTTTCACCATGCATGAGGAAAACAAAGATATTTGCAGATGAAGGTGGTAAAGCCGTGAGATTCAACACTCCACTGACATGATGTTTGGCAATATGAGAGCACTGATAAACATTTGGCAGCAGCTGTTTCTTAGTGGGGAACTCGACAAAGCAGCAGTGGACCTGGGAGCAGAGATGCTGGTCTGAGGTGGTCTTATAGTCCCACTTAAGCGTCTTCTTCAAGATTTTACACTCATTTTTACCTACAGACTACAACCAATCTGTGACCCATCACATCAAAACGAGGATTAAGTCCAAAAGTCGAATGTGGAGAAATAAACAGTATAAGGTTTTGATTTAAAAGTGTGCAAAAATTGCATTTTGTCAAAATATAATGAATTAATGCCTTATCAATGTATCATTTGAATGAACTGTCTGAAATATAATCCTAAAAAAGTTTAAGCATTTTTTAGCAGTAGCAACAGAAAACATTATTTTGAGGAAAAATGCCTTAAAATTTAGAATTTTTCCTTGTGAGCTAGCAATGTTTTTGTTTCTTTCCAACTGGGAAATCTTAATATACAAATAATATTTGAGGTTTACTCTTAATATTAACATCAAAAATGACTCAATAAATGTATGTAAAATTAGAATTCAGACCAAACCGTAATGTAGTATCGTAGCCAACAAGGCAAATTAAGTAATATCTCTGAATAAGCTTATGATATCAGGATGATCCAGGTATCAAAATGTAGCTTTTAAAGCCAAGAATCTGAAAATATAATTAGATCATTTTGACCAAATTTGACTTAATCCTCATTGTCATTTCATTGTTATTGTTTACATTTATCAGCACGTGTGCATTAAAACTTCAGGTCAGTGTTTTCTTTATGTTGCATGGATTACACACAATAACTGTGTTTCCAATCAACTTTAATACGCATTTTGAGCAAACTTTTAAAATGTTGCAAAAACAGAAATGTGCATCAGACATGTTTCCATCAATTGGCTTGGAGCGAATCAAGTGTAATTACGTCAGACGTTGACGTTACGCATGGCTGTAGTAAACAGGAAGTAAAGTCACAAATTTGCAGGGACATCACAACTYGGGACAATGGAGAGAAGTTATCAGGAACGAGTTTTTACTTTCAGCAAAGCTATAATTATTCTGTCATATCAACTAGTATTGGGGCGCAGTGAAAGACATGCAATTCTCTTCACGTTACGGGAATATCCGCAAAGATGCTACAGCGGGAGGAGGGTCCAGCTGCAGCCGGTACAATTATTGGGAACAGCTGATGGAGGGAACATATTCTTAAATGTGTTTCCATCTGCTCTTTTGCACATTAAATCTTTTTCGGAAAATCCAAAAACCACCTCAAGYGAGCGTAAAAACATCTTTGWGAAATTGAGGATGTGTTTGCSAATTTTGCTATTTTCATCCACCTTTTCTAATGCGATACTTCAGAATGTGCATAAAAACCRTTGATGGAAACATGGCTAATAAGTGTGTACTCTGCATGTTTTAGTACTTCAGCTTGAGGAGTATACTTGAAGTATAAAAATAAACTTGTGGGAWAGACACAGGACCTATTTTGCTAAATGCTAACTGGAAGTAGTCATTGCGATTTCACGTACATAAGTCAATCACACAACTTAAGCTTCCTGGTGATTTTCAATTGATTTAAATCAGTGTTTTGTTTACATTGACTGCATGCCCTCATTTCAGAATTATGCAACAGCATTTCTGTGAAACTACTGGAGTAAACTCTGTCAGACTGCACCAMCTGATATAGTCCAAGATGCTGTATTCATGTTTTATTTTATAGTCTGCAACGAGTCTCTTTAAAAAGGAGGAAAAAAACAAAATAAAATTTTGCAGATTTGTTTTTTTCTGGGATTTGTCTTACTGAAAAAAAAGAAAACACCTTTGTGTTTTTGCACAGCCACAACTACCGAAGCGTTTTTCCTTGTTCCTTTCATTTAATTCTTATTATAAATAGCCTCATCTGATCCCTGTGTTCAGCACATTATTGGATCCACGTAGAGCCATGCTTCCCGCACACGGAGTCATGAGGAGCGACTCCCATGTAGTAACCATCCATCATTCATCTGCAGAACGACTCCCCTCCCCCTGCAGTCTCCAGCCATCACAGGCCAGACAGAAAAAGGCTGCCAGCCACCGCCTCAAAAATCTGTTCTTCCTCACCAGAAGCAGCCAGRCCTCTGCAGACCGACTGATAAACACCCCTCCCCCTATCGTTTTCACAAGTCCCTGCTTCACAAGTCCATTCATTCACTCCATCTCTGCACCTCCACTTCTTCTGATCAACCAGCCTTTATTTTAATATTTACACCCATTCATTTTTTAAAATTCAATCTCTTCCACGTGTATTTATCCCCACGCTCTTCTTTATCTCCCCAAGTTTAAAATCTGTCACTTCCTTCCTTCGTGATCATTTCCTCCTGTCATCCATCTCAAATCTTCCTTCAGTTCTTTCACTTTTACGCAGAAAATCAGCTAAATCACATCCAAACTTTGCAGCTGCAATGCTTTCAGTCATGTATGAAACAATAGGAGAATATTTATGAGAGTTGTGCACATTTAAAGAGGGCACAAAAAGGCTTGACATAATTCACAAAGAATGCAGCGAATATTAAARCAGCTTATATATAAACAATGCCAAGGACGGTAAAGAAAGCAGCTGATCTACTGTAAAAATAATTCAAAAAATAACTTTAATTTTGCAGGTTTTTAATGCTTAATGCATTTGGATGTAGTATGAACATTRATAAGGGGAATTTAAAAGAGTACAAAGAAGCAAAAGTATCCAAAYGTCCTCTGTAAAAGAAAGTAGACAAATTGTTCAGAATGATTTATATTTTTAGAAAACAACTTCTGCCTACATTTGTTCTGTTCTGTTCATGTTGTTTTTTAAATTGCAGTCTTATGAAATCATTGTTGCGTCTGGATCTACAAGTTAGAAARTCTATCACACAAAGAAATGAATAATAAGATGCAGAAACACCATGGTTCCTTCTGGGCCTGAGCTCAGAAAAAAGGACAGAGTTCTGACTTTTTCTGGAAAATATAAAAAGATAATTTTTTCTGACAAAGGGTATCWCTATGACAGCATAACATGGCTGTGATAGGATATAAATTGGTTAACTTGCATAAAAGAAAAAACACTTTAACCACTACTTTGTTGGGAAAGAGTCGTTAAACTGAACTGCCWGCAATTTAGACCTAATTGCATTTACTTCATTATCAAACAAACTAAAATTATAAACTTTTGAGCACCTAAAAATCCTGAATATGTCAGTTTTAAAGTTGCATTAGTTGATTTTCTGAAAAAGTATGGAGAGCCAAAACTGACATAATTAGAAATAAAAGCAGAAATATATAAATGGACCAACAAATAAATAAACACACTTAAAATGCACCAAAAAATTTAAAAGGAGGCTTATATATCTTGTTTTATATTTCAATTATTTTTCCAGCTTAGTTATATATATTTTAGCACATAATTAACTATTAAGTTTTTCATTTGACTTGAAGATAAGATAAGATAAGATAAGATAAGATAAGATGATAAACTTTTGTCATTATACAGAGCACAATGAAATTCAGATGCATTTATGTCTCTTAAATGTTTATATTTAATTATTTTACTATAATCTTTCACATTAGATCTGCACATGTTTGTGCTTTTGTTAGCCAATAAGCTGACCCAAGAAACTCCACCCACCTTATTTGCATGACAAGGCAGAAATGCACAAGTTAAAGTAAAAACAGGAGACAGAAATGTAAAAACAAGGGAATGGGAAATATATATATATATATATATA